CATGTGTGTACCTAAATGTAAATATATATATATATATATATTATTTTTTTATATATATCAATATATCTTGTCGGTGAGCCGTGAGTAATGTCGATGAGAGAGTAATGCGGGATAATGTCGATCGAGAGAGAAATGTTGCTTCTCTCTCCCCTTTCTATTTACGGATGTGTTATGCGCTACTGCGTATATACAGGGTGTGTTCCCCCTCGGAAATTCCGCGAGATCGAGGGACAGGTCGGTCGAGTCAATCGAAATTCCAAAATACCGTATACCGTCTTTGCCTATCTTGGCGAGAGACCGCAAGGATTTGGTCGTTAGTTGAATTTACGATTTTTATCGGCTCGACTTCAAAGTCACCCCTCGAAGTTCGCCTATCGAAATAGAAAAAGAACTCTGGCTCCTCGGAGGAATCCCCGTTATGTGCATTAGCATTCTGCTTTGAGGATCGGACGCACCTGGCTGGCTGCGTTCACGACTGGTCCTGGATTGCGATTGATCGGTCAATGAAAACGAGAAAACGTTCTGGCTCGAGCGTCTCGTTCGTCTGATTCTTTTTCCCTGTCTCTCCCTTTTCTGAGTGTACCTTCGTGGAAAGTCCGATATTACTGCGAATCGCGTAGCTGTTACGCGTTAGACGCTCTTTTCTTGTTTTCTTTCTTTTTTTCCTTGTGTTTTTTTTTTTTTTTTTTTTAATATCTTTTCTCGCTCGCAGGCGTGTTCGCCTGAGATTCTGTGCACTTTTTTTTCTTCTTGCAATTTCATGTAAGGATATGGCGCGCGTGTTAGTCATGTTGTCGTTCATCGTCACGCGTATATGCGAATCCTGTTCATCTTGCTGAAGAAATGGCGATATCCTACGGGAAACGCCGATCGGTGTCCCGATACAAAATTGCGTCCAGTGAAAAAGTGTGACGAAAGCTGTGTGACATGAGAGACACGTTGACGATGTTAGAACGCGCGTTCGTACAAAGAAAAATGGAATACATATTATTCTTCGAGGCTTGCACGATAGTTAAAGGATTGTTTTTTTTACCGACTGGTTGATTCTTCCAATTCATTTTTTTTTTCTTGATGACGATGATATTCCTGTGTTTTCTTTTTTTCGGCGGAATGATGTGAAATTTTATTTTCTTTTGCTCAAATTTCCTATTTTTAGTCTTAATCTGCCGGGATAGTACAATCTTAGAGCTTAGTATAATCTTCACTTTTTACGCGATCTTCGACAGTAAAATACTCTAGAATACTAACATTTAGCAATAAATCGATTTTGTACATTTTGTTTGTCGATATCTCTACCAGTAGATTAAGTTATATTCCTCGCCTCTAACTTTTCGCGCGCCTTGCGAGCGCGCGCAATAATTTATAACGTTAAAAATCTTCTTTCTTCTCTTTAAGTTATCATTATTATATTATATAATAATTTCTATCTATTCTAATCATCGTTTGTTATTTTGTTTTGATTTGTTACATTCTCTTTCTTTCTCTCGAGCGTGCGAGCGGGTTGTCTCTCTCTCTCTCTCCCTTTGTCTTTCTTTTTTTCATCTTAGCGTTTTCTGAATGCTGAGGAATCGGCCGAATAATGTTACCTTCTTTCGTTTTTCAGACCAAAGAGGCTGCTTCTATTTACTGTCTTCCGAATGAAAAGTATACTTTTTCTTTTTTTTTTCTTCATTTTCATGTTTTTCTCTTAATTTTTCCGAAACATTTTATCGCAACAAATATTCAAACTGAAAGACCCGATGAACGAGCGAAAGGTGTGAATTTTCATATGCGGGGGCACACATCAATCTGTCCGTGGAAAAAAACGCAGGCGATTAACATTTTCGCATGACTCTAAGTCTATGGAAATGAAAATGTATCAATCTAAATTTTTAGAAATCACAGAACTCCTCTAAAATTTGTTATTTTTGTTACGCAAACGCCAGGTAGGTGTTTCAAGAAAGAAAAGATAGTTTCTCTCAAGAAAAATGTCGGACGCCGCGTTTTTTCCCGGAGCAAAAGCATTTGTTCGCTCAATTTAGAAAGAGATACTCCGAAAGAGGGCGGGTGGGCGATGGTATCCGTCGTAAAACCGACTCGACGAGGTCCCAACGGAGCACCCCGTGGGCCTCTCCTCGGCGACGACGGGTCTCTGTAATAGGGGCGATTCGCGTGTCTCGCTTCGCGTCGTGCTTCTTCTCTCACAAGTGTCCGGACTGTTCTCCCTTCATCGACTCGAAATTTTGAAAGTACGGGCCAAAAAGGAAATCAAAAAGATGACGCGTGATATGACATTGGTCTCGAAGTAGCGTAAATGATTCCGTCGACCGTGAGACTAAACGAGGGCTTGATTCCGTATTTGCTATTCTCCCATATCTTTCTCTTTGCTTTATTTATTTATTTATTTATTTATTTATCTGCGCTTTTCTGTAATTGTTCTCCGCATCTTTTCTGCCTCTGTATTCGTTACATCCCGTTTTTATTCGGCAATCTATTGCTGTGCTGTATTAGTTTTTTCTTCTTTTTGTTTTTTTCTTTTTATTTTTTTGGATGCTGTGCGAACATGTTTATCTTGTCCCTTGGCACTTCCTTCCGTTTCGCAACTTTTTTTTTTCTTTACAAGCTTTAATACAAATCTCTCCCTCTCTCTCACTACTTCTCTCTCCTTCTTCATTTAAATATTTACGCTTGATAAATAACTGCGGGGCGCGGGTCTGCGGGCGAGGGTAGTCCTTTACGGTGGTACGATAGGACCGGGGTCCCTCGCATAAAACTGCGAGGTTCCCGGAACGGGCCCGCCGATGGTCTCGCCGAGCAGACTCGCGGCCGCCGCTTCTTCGAAATATATTATTAAATATAATATACAAATTTATATCCCACTAAAAAATCTCCTTCACGTCGTAATCTTTTCCCCCCCTCTTAAAAGCGAGCGAGCACAGTGCAAAAAGCTGCGCACCTCGTCCCCCCGATTAATTCTTATAATCCTCTCTCTCTTTCTCTATAACGTTAATTTGTTTTTCCCGCGAGAATCACTTCATTTTGCCACTCCTCTCTCTCCTTCTTTTATCTTACTTATTAAAAAAAACTTTTTCTCTCCCTCTGTTTTCTCTCACCTTAATATCGTAAAAATTCATTAAGTTATTAAAAACATCTAACAAAAAAAATTGAAAAAGAAAGATTCACTTGGAGTCTCCCCAACAATGTATCAAAAATAAATCTACATTTTTCAGACTCGTTTTCCTCTTTCATTCTATCTTCCATTTTTTTTTTATCCTTTCCTCTGTCTACTTTATTCTCGTGTGCTAGTTCCTACACTTTTCTAATGCTTCATCCTCGCGCGATGCAGCAGAAAAGAAGAAGACTCGCATTCCTGTCGCGCGTTCGGCGTTAGATATGTGACTACTTGATTCTTTCAAGCCGTTAAGCTTCGTTGTTACAGCCACAAAAATGTCTATTACATTTAATCTTCATCTTTATAAGATTCCTGGTCATCTATGTTTTAAATTTAGAAATAGAGACAACGTTTAACAGAGTTTATGAGCTTCTAAACCCATTTTCATAAACACGATTTAAAGTTTGCCGCGATTAAAAGATCAGAGTTAAGATTTCAAGATTTTAAAAAGCAGAACGAGGGATGAAAGAAAATATAATATCGTGTTTAAATTCAATCCTTGATTTCTTTCGAAAATTGTATTTGGAAGGGCCGAGAACTCTCATCTTTCTTTCTCTGAATTAACAAAATATACGCGAGCAGTCTTAATCTTGCGTTAATCATCAAGTTTGAGTCTTGAGGTCTTAACTCTGATGTTTATTCTTCTTGTCTGTATCTAGAAAAAGACAAAGAACTAATTATAAAGTACAGTCAGCGTCAATCACAAAAACAATTTTTGATAATGGAAAAAATAAAGATTCGATATTACAAGTAATCAACAATGAGAGAAAATCAGATTTAGAAACTCACAAAAATCCATTGACATTTACTCCTCTTTCCAAATCCAAAACTTTTCGAGAAACAAAAATCGTACAAATGAAAATTATAGAACTGGTTCGACTAGTCACGCGTTTAAGATTTAGAATTAAAAAGATGCACGATGAGTAGCAACGTGCGTCTTCATCTTCCGCTGCAAAGAGAAATTCTGATCGTATCGATTAATGCCCGCGAGGAAATATTCGCGTGCAGAAATTCTTCAATTCTCAATCTTCAGCCTTCTTTGAAAAAAACAAAAAAAAAATAAGGATCGATTAAGCACACGATGTCATATCCTCTTTCATTTCATGTCTCTTAAATCTTGATTATCTTCATCCTTAACCTTGTGTATCTTTGTACTAAATGCATACCGAACGCCGAGAATGTAAGTCAGCGGACCCGGAAGGGTCCGCTGTGTCGCCAGACGTGGGTGTCCCGGTTGGGTTCCACGTGCCGATAACCGGTTGTCGCCTCGGCAGCGCGCCGATGAGCTCAATAATCGCCGATCGATCGAGAACCGTGAGAATTCTCACTGAACGATTCGAGTGATCTAATGGCATAACCGTCCGATGGTCCAAGTATCTAAGTAATAAAGTGCAAAGGAGAATGAAAAGTTGGCGTTTTGTTCGTCATATTCCGTTCGTCCAAATCTGCGGAAGCGATCGATCGTCTTGCTCGAGTCCCGATCGACGCGAAACCGTGCGCCGTAATTGATTAGTCCGTTGTGTTTCATAAACTTGGTCATTGCTTAACGACCGCTCTGCAGGGTCGGTTTTCTCGACTCTCGAATCTGATTTGATTCATCGCATTCCCCGTCTCGCTGCCTCCGCCTCATCTACCTGCCGCGCGATCGATCGTCTCGAAACCTCTCTTCCTCTCTTTTTCCCCATTCCGCTCTAAAATAAAGCGTCTCCAAAGCGTCTCTTCGGAATGTCTTCAGAATTCGACACAGCAACTGTGACGCGTACTCAGTCACTGATATACCAGCTAGAGCTCGAGATCGGAGAACGAGTTCAACTCACGGAATTCGTTTTCTTTCCTCCTCCTCTTCTTCTTTTCCTCTTTCATCTCGCCGAACGTTTTCTGCGTTCCGCGGATTATCCCCGATCTCGAAAGGAAATCTCTCGGCTCTGTACAACGGTATAATAATGGCCGATTATACGCGCCGCGAGTCGCGATATCGATGCGAGATCGAGATCGTTGCGCTCCGCGGTTCTCCGTGCCCGGCCGACCCTACGCTCCTCTAACAGCTATAATTTGCAAAAATTACGGGGCTCGCAGGCTCGTCGGGGGACGCCTCGCGGAGGCTCCGTCTCGACGCCCGTCTCAGCGACACACCATCCGCGGTGAGAGTAAAAGTCACGAATTGAACGTCGCGACACTCCGCTCTCCCGTCGTCTTTCTACTCTCTTCCCTTCCGTTTCTTGCTCATCTCAAGCCTGATTTCTCCCTGACGTCTTTCTTTCGCCTTTCCTCGCCGTTTAACTTCTAATCAGTAATCAAATTACTTATCAATTAATAATTATTATTCAACACACGCACACTCACACATTATTACATTCATGGTAAAAGTAAAAATCCCTGAAAAGTTTTGTCGATTCACTTTTTGTCCCATACGTCCCCTCCTCCGCTCGCCGTCTGTCTCTCTTTTGCTTCCTTTATATAATATCTCTCTCTTTTTTCTCTCGTTCTCTCTCACTCGTTGTTCTACGTACCGACAGTCGCTTTTTCATTCTCTCCGTGTGTTCGAGAAACATCCTTTAGTAATGCTCTTTGAAAACATGACATAAAACAGCTTCTCCTCATGTCGTACTGATATGGAACTCCACGCTCGGATTTTCTCTCTCCTCTTTCAGTTTCCTCTTCTCGTTCTTTCTTCTTCTTTATCTCTTCTTCTCATTAGATCAATCACTTGTGCCAAGCGACACGATGTTTCATCGGCGTTTTCTTCGACATTTTGATGACTATTTGTCGCTTTCCCCTCTCACATTTACGTATCTAATTCCTCTTCCTTTCTATCTCTCTCTCTCACTTTCGTAACTCTTGATGAGGAACTTGAGGCGAATAGAGCGTACACGACGCATTTCACTTCATTAATACGAAATAACTCATAATCGCTTCTTTGGTATTACGTGCGAGGAGGGGCGGGTTGGGGCGCGGGGGGGGTCGCTTCTATTCTCTTCTCCTCCTGAGGCATTCTGGCTTATGGTCTATGACCGGGAACGGGTTGCCGTTCCGCGATACATGGTTTCGGTATTATTTAAGTCTCGTATTATCGTTCAACGTCTCTGGATTGTGTATATAAAAATCTGCACTTAGTCTGTGTGTTTTTTGTTGCTTTCTTCTTTTTTTTTTTAAGAAAAACCGCTTTCCTCCTGTAGTAGTAGTAAGAAGTAAATAGCATATAGCGATAATAGTAGTAGGTAGGTAGTAAGTAGTAATAATAGTAATAGTTGCAGTAGTAGTAACAGGTATAACGTAATATGTAATTGTCACTTAACCTCTCTGTATATTATTAATAACTTTAATATTAGATAGACTTCTTCTTCTTTTTTTAGATTAATCGGTTTATCGCTTCTCCCGCGCGTTTCACTTTCCTTTATCGTATTAAATCTTTAACCGTAATGCAATGAGGTAATAAGGTTGTGTGTTTTTCTTTTTTTCTTATTTTTTTTTTTAAATTCAGTTTGTTCTCGTCGAAGTGTCCTATTTCATCGGCGGCGGTGGTTTCGTTAGCGCTGCGAAATTGGGTCGTGCGCGGCTGTGTGTTGTCGCTTCGTCGCTATCGCGGGGGGAAGGGGGCGGGGCGGGGTGCGCGCGCGTAGACGTGACGCGTAGAGCGAAGGGGAAAACGTCACGGGTCCTCGTTAATGAGGACTCGTCATGAGAGTCAGCGATCGCGTACGGATAGCCTGGACGAAGCCAGATTTAGGTAGCATACGCTCGGTATTCCCACCGATCAGTCCCGACGATCACGCTTCGTCTTCCATCTCGTACGTTCAAATAGCGATTCGAAAATCGGGCCGACTGCTAACGTGATTAATCATTCGCGATGAGGCAACATTTGCGTCTCCATTGACGACGTCCTATCTAAAGACAAATTAATCGTTCGCTCGATCGCGGAAGACGCGCGCGTGTCGAACCGAACGGTGGACCCGGGAGTTCGTTGACTCCTTAGATTGACTCTTACAACAAGTCGAGTCTTGGAATTAGAATCTTTGGAATTAGAATCCTTCGTTCTCTCAAATTCTCAGAATTAACTCGCCGAGCGCTACGAATAAACTCCTAGAATCACGGTTGACTCATCGAGTTACGACTCTTGGATCGTTTCTATAACCGATTCACGGAGCACGGAATTATTATTAGCAAGGATTATCTCGCATAATCGAGAAATCCGCGAATCCGTTATTGGATCTCGGTTCAGTTAATTCTCAGAACGTTGCCGCACGTCTTCCCGTCGCGATCTGCGCGTCGCGCACCCTCGTATGAAGCCCACCCCCATCGGGGAGGGTCGTGCGCGCCCCGCGAGAGGAGGAGGTCGCGATAAGCTCAGCCTCTCGACGAGAGAGAATGTCAAAGCGACGACGAGGCCACTCCGGCGAATAAAGCGGATGAGCGTTTGTGGCGTCGGTCCGCGTCAGGTCGGTGTAATCGATGTTAATGTTACTGCGGCGATGATGGCGGCTGCTGTTGCTGCTGGCTCGATGGCGAGCCAGTGGACTGCTGTTGGGAACTAGGCTGCGACGTCGTGCCACTTTGGGAAGTGGCGCTGCCATCTCTTTTAGAACGGGAAGCACCTTCCTGGCTACTACCGCGACCGGCGCGTGAGCCAGCACCGCCGGTTCCGCCGGGTGCACCCGATTGCAGTACCATCGCACGGATTCTTCTCTGTGCGGACTATAAAGAGCAGAAAGAGTTTTTTCTTTACTATTTTAATTATCGTAAATGGTTAGTATAAATTCAAGAAAAAAATTATTGTCTTTTATTGCTGGTATATAATAAAATAATTTATATATTTCATAGTAAGGACAGTTTTCCATATAAATGAAGGTAAATTTAAAAAAATATCTATTCATAAAGATTAGTTAAAAAAATCAGCTTTCTTACTTGAACAGAGAAGAAAGGGCCGATGATATGGACTGTTGTTTCTTCTTCGGCTGAAGGAGGAGTTGCTTGTTGTTCTGACAATTTAATGACACTTCCAGTCACACGCTGTAGCTCCCTCACATTTTGACCACCTTTGCCGATGATTCGACCAACCTGGGTACTGGGCACGAGAATCTCAATGGTTAGTCTAACATCTTCGGTGCCGGCAACGTAGCCTTCCTCCCGCATTTTTTCAAAGATTAGATATTGGGCCTGAAATCGCAATTTTAATATAAAAATATGCAAAATTAAATCTCACATTCTTTCGAAGTTCAACAAATCGATACGAGATAATAAAAGGGAAAAAAAAGGAAAAAAAAGTATCGAAGGGACAAACGGGGCCGATTCTCGCATGTTTCGACGAGATCGGTACGGGGCCCTTTCTTTAATATTCCTGCTAATTCTAGTTGATGCATAGAAGACAACATCCACTCAAATGTAGCAGGATAACCGAAAATATTCTTAGAAATTTTAACCTAACCGCATAAATTTTTTTGCAAACGATCGGATTTGAACCCGCGATCTCTACATTGCCGATAGTAACGCGTTACCTATCTGCCAATATGGCATCGGGAATACATGGCTGTTAAAATACTTTATATTTTGTTGTTTTAGTATTATCAATAACAGAAAGTCATAGTCATTATAGTTTGTAAATTGGGATATCGTATAGCGTTGAGAGAGAACATTGACTTGTAAACGGCAAATTCCAAGTTCAAATCCATCGCTCCCACATGCCTCGGTTTTATTTAAGAAGATGATCAAAAGTTGAAAAAAATCATTATTAATTAATTAATGATTTTTTAATACTTTAATTAATTAATAATTAAATAATTAATTAAATTATTTAATATATGTAATATTCAATATGTTTAATGAACAGAGAGAAATCCGTTGATCTAAATTAAATCTTGAGATAAGATCATAACGATGATTCTACTTACCTTCCATTGAGATTCCGGAGAACCGACGATGGTAACCTTCCTCTCGGTCTGTTGCTCAGCCGGCTTATCTTGCTCAAGAGGCGCAATTTTTACGCTAGCACCGGAGAACCTTATGATGTTGCGGATATGAGAGCCTTTCGTTCCGATGATAGCGCCGACGCTGTTGTTGGGAATGTAGAGGAAGGTCGTTTCCTGGGTGTCGCTAGCGGGGACGCCTTGTTGAGTAGGCAGGCTACTCTGGTAGGGATACGGGGCGGGTCCCGAACCGTAGAGGCCGGGTCCACGGGAGCTGTAGCCCATACCAGCGGTGGACATCATGGCCATCGGATGCAGACCGGGGAACATCATGCTTTGAGGCTAGTAAGAATAATGATTATATCGATTAGACGTCTCGTATTAGGCTGTGTTGCGCAATAGTGCCTCTATAAAACCGAGGCACTTATTTTGCCTCGGCGAGGTAGACGTTGAAATTTCTAGGTAAAAATTTGACGAAGAAGTTTGCTTGTCATTTCAATTCTGTTTGATATTGTGTAAAGTTTGAAACAAAAACTCTCCAAGTTTTGATCCTTGATCTTGTGTCATTTATAAATCAATAAAATTTACAAGAATGTATTTATACTTGTTTGCATTTATATTATATTTTTATATTAATTATTTTTGTTTAAATTTTTCCTCCATACTAATTTAAAAAAATTTATACAAAATCCTGAGAGAATTATATTTATATCGTATAAAAAATTAAAAAGTGGCGAACAATACATGGAAATGGAACTCACAGCCATAGCTTGTAAATCATTTTCATAGCTCTGACGCAGTTTGCTGGAGATCATGGACTCGGCTTTACTCATATTATCAATTGTGCCCTTAACCGTGATGATGCGTTCGAGGTTGAAGCTATTGATGTCATTGATACTGCTAACGGTGATTTTTGTATCGGTGTCCTGCATGATTCTTTTGATCGTGTTACCACCTTTACCAATGATTCGTCCGATAAGGTTATTGTGCGCGAGAATCTTCAGGGTGATCTCACTGTTGACAAGCAATAATGTAATTTATTAATAACAAAATTTGGCAATCAATTGATAAATTGAAAATCTTAAACCAAAATAAAATTCAATTTATATTTAATATATCTCCGATCAATATATATTCCAATTTTATAATTTTATTCCAGACGAAATTTCATTTTCACTCGGAAAAAAAACTCAAACTCGAAAGGTTATCAAAGTTATTCAGAACGCCGTCGTACCCCTTGTTTGTGTTATTTGCCTCCTGTTGCATGACCTCCAGAATTTTCTTGCAGGCATTAGTGCAGTTCTCGGGGTTGCCATAGATGGTGATGGCCTTCTCCAGGGAACCAACGTTATCCTTGCGGTGCACGTCAACGCGGGCGCGCGTCATCTGCGTGATCTGTCGGATAGTGGAACCTTGCCGGCCGATTATCGCGCCCACCATGTCGGATTGGACGAGGATGCGCAGCGGGAAATCGGTCTGGCGACCGGAACCCGGCAGTCCGGAGAAGGCGACGCCGCCGCCGCGCTGGCTGCGGCCTCTGCGTCGGCTCTCTGCCGAAGACATCTCCACTTTCAACGGATTGCCATCGAACTCGTAGCCATTTAACTGGTTCACAGCCCTGTGGACAGCGAGATCTCTAGAGTCTCTCTTCTGGACGGAAGCGAGCCGTGTCGCCGACGATGTCGGATATCGTCGGATGCATCTCATCAGCGCGAATTCTTAAAGTTTTTTTCTAACGCAGATCTCAACGTGAACGTGTATACGCGGCGAGAAGGAAGTGATTCGAAACGACGACGAGTGGCAGTGACTCCTCTGCTCCGCTATGACGAACGATCGATCTCTCGGATCGATCTTTCGCGAAACGAGAGAAAAGCCTGGGTATATACTTACTGTTGTACTTGTTCCTGCGTCTCATAGCTAATGAGAACGCTTTGTGTGTTCGGGTCTCGCGACGGCACCTTCTCGATGTTCTGAACCTGGCCGTAGCTGGAAAAGAGCAGATCCAGATCCTCTATTCGAACCTGGATCGGTAGATTGCTCACGAGGACCTTAGCGACCCCACTGCTGCTGGAAACAAATAGATAACACTTGGGATTAGACACGTTTCAGCTGCGAATATGTGGAAATATTGAATGTTTTATATTACAAACGTAAAACACACACACACACACACACACACACCATGCGCGCGCGCACTGTTTTAATGAACTAATGTCTAATAACACGATATTAATAACTACACAATCGTAGAATGTATGTAAAAGATATTTGAATACCATATAACGTCGCGCATCTCTTTAACGTATTCCAATTTATCTTGACAGAGAAGAGCTTGTAAGCGAAGAAAGAGAGCGGCCATATAAATGCCAGACTCGAACGCGACTCTGACAGAATTACACGGCAGCAAGCAAGATTCCAACGGTAATCGCTAATAAACTTTGAAAGCTGAGCTGTAACCTAGTGGGGAGCGTCACCTGTTTACATTACATCGCGACGTTGTTGCCTTACAACGAAACGAGATACATATGTTATGACACGTGTCACAACATTGATACACGAAATTTTACATATTCATTCAACTAAGTTATCAAGTTGTTATTATAAAATTAATCATTATCGTTGTACGCAAATATCAAAGATTTCACAAGGAAAAAAATATGATGAAGCATAAAGCAAAATAAGATGAAGAAAATTTCACGCGTTATACAAGATATTTTATTTTCAGAAATCTGTCTCTCTTGTGAAATCAATTAAATATCATTTCTTTAATGTCCAAATATCAATTTATCAATTCTAACGAAGACATTTGATTTTGGTGGAGAAAATTTGTGTGGAATCCTTTTGTATCTTTACTATTTACGAAATCATTCTCGACAATTCCGGAGATATACTTGACAAGGTCTTTAATAGCTGAAAAAGATAAATAAATTTTAAACTTAAAGTTTAAACTTTTATCAATATAATTGGAAAGTAATATTTATAATTGTGAATTTTATAATTATGAAAATATAAAGTTTCATGCTTCACATTAAATTGTAGCCTGTGTCTTATATGAAAATCTTTATATAAAATCCTTTTATTTATATAATTACAACAATCTTACTTATTTGAATTAAAAGGACTCTTCAATTTGTTCATTACAATTTCTTCATTAAGGAATTCATTACTCTCATATTAATGTTAGTAGTCGAGAGGTCACATAACTACGAATTAGATGACGATAGATGATGATGATTATTATTATAAGAGACCTTTGACGATTCTTGAGGTATGTATTGAAACAAATACCTCGAGTCGCACGCGGTTAAATTTCATTTTGGTCAGCTTTGCGGGCTACTTTGTCCGGGCTTGCACGAGCGTGAACTGTGCTTGTGCGTTTATCGGCGTGGCCGCCACGACGACATGAATGAACCAAACGGCAAGTAAGAAGAGTACGCGGAGCGTGAAGAACAAAAGAAGGGTGGAACGACCGAGGGAGCGACTCTCACTTTCGTACGTATCGATTTTTCAGCGGGTCGACCCACTCATCACCGGTGCCGCGGCGAGCTTTCGAGCAACCTTGAAGAAGACGCGGCGAACGACCCTCCAGGACCTCGATAGGGTCCGAAGATAAACTCCGACGTGCTTTCGTGAGATGGAACGATAGCGCGATCGTCCTTGCGCAACCTAGATTGTCTACGAGAATGTTTCTGGCCAATTGAATCATCAGTCTGGGAAATATCGTTTGATTAAAATTTATATCCGGCTTAAATTGAACAATGGACACTCGCTCTTTAATGTTTTACGATTTTTTTTTATCGAGGATTAAATTTTTATAGACTTTTTATATAATTTTTTCTCGATGACTACGTACGTGTTGAAATAATTAGTAGCGTTCGTCTTAAATGAAAATATGTTGATGTGATAAGGATTCGTATTTTCGTTTTTACAATTAATAGTAAAATGATATTAATAATAATTGAAAACAGTTTTTAGTAACCTTCATTACCTTCTTGCATAATATATCGAATTATCGATCTCTCGTGTGTATCATAAAAATAATTTATGGAGAAAGCGAAATGTGCTCGATACACGCAAGATGCATTGCCAGGTTGCAATGTACCTACATGCAACGAGGGATCATTTCATATTTATATTGCAATTCATGTTAAATTTATGAATGCTGCGATACCATGAATTTATTTATTGGAAAAATTGAGAATCGATAGCATTGCAATGTCGAATTCCCCTTCCTTCCAATTCGCGTAATAACACTCGTAACTAAAATACACGCACTCCTAGAATGCAACAATAAAAAAGTAGTGTAGAATATTGAAAAAATTCTTCATCAATATCAATCATTAATCGATGTTTAAATACACAAATAAATGAAGATCTGAATATTTTCTCTCCTGCCCCCCCCCCCTTCTCTCTCTCTCTCTCTCTCTCTCACCCTTGACTTATAAAAATCTCAGAAATTTAACAAATAATTGCAAACATTATTTCCATATTAATTATTAAGGGACTTATACTTGAGAGTTTCTTCTAAATACAACTTAATACACTTGACTCTCTGAATATTGAGTCTCAGGTAAAGGTGCATTATAGACTTATTCAGACTTTAAGCTTCTCAAACCACATTACGACGAAGAAAAGTAATGAAAACCAACGACAAATTAAGCGTGCGTTCGCCCAATTAAAGAAAAAAATAGCAGAAGAGGAAGAGAAGACAAAGATGCTAAACGCTAAACGAGTACTCGCGCACATGAGGAAAGGGAGGAGGATAGGAGAGATACGACGGACGGCGGGCGGAGTATGATGTGGGGGTGGAAGGGGGTGGCCTTTGTTTCGCGTACTTCCCTTTAGGGGATTTTCGGCGGTATCCATGATATAGCGCAAGGAGTGCGTGCACCGTCTGCCCCGTGGTCTCCGCCGCCCATTACCCCTCGGAGGACTCTCCTCACCCTGTTTTCCTCTAACCGCTCTCTCCCTCCCTTCAACCCTTTTGCACGCACGTGTGACTCGTTGGCGACTTCGTCGGGTCACCTTTAACGAAAGGCGGCGGTTTTTCGCGAGGCGACGAAAGGGGAACGCGGAGGAACAGAGAGGGAGCGTCAGGAGGAAGGGTAGAGAACGAGAGACCAAGAGAGAAACAGAGAAGAGAGAGAGAGAGAGAGAGAGAGAGAAGAGAGAGAGAGAGAGAGAGAGAGAGAGA